AGAGAGACAGAGAGAGAGAGAGAGAGAGAGAGAGAGAGGGAGGGAGAGGGAGAGAGAGAGAGAGAGAGAGACAGAGCGCTAAAAAGAAATAAAGAGACTGAGAGGCCAGAGCTTGGCAAGCCAAACTTTGGCACGGTGACCAGGAGGAAGGTTCTGGTAGGGAGTTAGCTCTCGAAAGTGCTCCCGGAGTCAGCCAATGTGCTGCTGCCCTCTAAAGGCTCCAGGGAATAGTGCACAGCCACAGACCCGGAGACTTGCCCTCAGATGTGTCATGTTTGTTCAGTTCTTTTTAAATAACCAAGAGAGGTATTTTCAATTCATTACAACAAAGCATGCTCTTTCCTTCTTAGTAGATTGCAAAGTGCCAAAACTGCTCAAGTAACAGTAACTGTGTATGTCAGCTGAACGGTGAGCTATTCCCTGTTACTTGTGCAGGTGGGAATATCCCAGTGGTAACAGGCTAAGTGGTACTAAACAAATGAGAGAGTGAGCTTGTTTGTAGAGGAGATTTAATACTACTCGGCCAAGAGTTGTCTCCAAAAATGATTCTTGAGACAACAAATGGAATGCAAGTGTACTGACATGAAGAACAATGTTTGCAATGTTGAAAATAAAAGTGTAATAATCGTTTGGTGGTATAATCATATTTCAAAGAGAGCATCCTTAATTTTCTGAACCACACATTCAAAACCAGCCTTGACTTTGTTTATAAGCATCAGCGATAACTTTTTTCTACTAGGTAGTATTTGTCATATATTCTGTCCCCATATTTAAATGAATCACGAAGACCAGCCTAGTCCTGCTGAACAAAGTAACATCACTCTTCTCAAATGCCCGTCATGGATTCAAAGTTGAAGCACCCAGTCAGGGTAGAGTTCACTGCTACATAAAGAGAAGGAAATTTAACTGGGGTTCAGGCTTCAATGATCTTTGAAATACACCATAATTTCAGCTCCAATTTCATTCCACCGACAAATAGTTGTTGAATGGCAGTTTTGTGGCTTGACAGTGTAGACAGTAAACTCTGGGAAGACAAAAACCAGGCTCAGTTCCCTGGATCATGCTAACACATCACAGGTGCATAGTAAATGTTTGTAAAATGAATGTGAATAAATGATGAAAGGACGGAAGAAGGAAAGAATGGATGACTACAGAGAATATAAAAATAACTGAGCCATTTCCTTACCTTCAGAGAGGTTACTGAATATAAATAACTATTCATGAAGTAAAATTTAGTAAGTGATAATATTAGTAAAAAGCATCTGGAGATTTCAGAGAACAAATGGGGAGAAGTCCTGTATAGTAGAGAAGAGCCGTGACAGTTACAAGAAGGAAAGACCATTTGGTAAGTGTGAAGGGTGTTTGATTTCAACAAGCAGAGATGACAAAGGGATGATCAAAGTCAGAAAAATAACTTGAGTAAAGGTGTGGAGGCAAGAATGTAGATTCCAGGAATGTTAAGGAACTTTGAGAGTCCAGTGTGCCAGTACATAGGATACAGGACATAAGGTAGAGCAGAAAAGGAGCCGACCTAAGTGTCAGGCTAACATGCCCATGGGGGATTTAGTGAATGCAGAGAAACAGGACTGGAGAAGATAGAAAGGATGGAAAGCCACTTAGCAAACATTAGTCCAGTTTAAAAGTGGTACAGTAGGGCTGGGGATGTGGCTTAGTGGTAGAGCTTTTGCCGTGCATGCACAAGTCCCTGGGTTCGAGCCCCAGCACCGCACACACACATGTACACACACATATACGGTAAGGCAGTTGCATGAAATGAGAAAGAAATAAAAATACAGAAAATACGAAAGGAGCAGAATTGTTAAACCTGATGTTAAATCAGTTTGAAGGCGGAGGAAAATGTATCATCATGAGCCTCAGATTTCCCACCTGATAAGAGACAACAGTGGTGGACGCAGGGACCATGGAGAAAGCAATGGTTTTCACAGGGTAGAAGGTTGCACTTTGGAGACTTCATTAGATGCCATTTTAAACTGAAAATCGGAATGCAGAGCGCTGAGAGTTTTGTGTGGATACTCAGAACTTCGGGGTTATTCGCCACCCATTCAACAAACAATGTGTCAGGCATTGCCGTTTGTTGTTTGCCTTACATTGGCTTTTTGTATAGTGAAAAAGACGTCTGCAAGTTTCCCCTCTTCTAATCTTTACCGTGCTATTTCTGCCTTCTGCCCTCTAAGGAAACAGATTTGATTTCACAACCTGTTGGACCAAAAACACAACATACTAATCATAACACCATATTCTGCAAGGGCAGATTTAACTACCCAGCACAACAAATTTCAATATGAAACAGTATTCTATAACAAGTCCAATGCCGTGCTCATAGAAACAAAGGAAGCATAGAAACAAATCCACTTACAAGTTATGTACCACACATAATCTTCAACTGAAAAAAAGGGTACTTTCTAGGGCTTGGGATGTAGCTCAGTACTTTTGCACTTGCCCAGTATGGGCACATATGCAGGACCCTGGGTTAGAGCCCTAGCACGTTAAAAAATTGCTCTTTGGTTATTATCTACGTAGTAATAGAAAAAACACAAAGCTGAGGAAATTGATAGTATGTTCAGGGACTAATCTCAGTTCGGCTGAAGTCTAGGGCTATGTGTTATAAGCTCATTTATTAGTTTAACATCAGTTGTGTTATTGTCAGAGAGGACTCCCAGAGCTGACTTATACCTGCGCTGTTTTACTTCCTAGTCCTGACCCCAAACAATCAGTTAGTAATGGTGAATTTCTAGTCCCTATTACCCATCTCTTCCTCACGTGCCAGACACACAGTGACACTCTTGAACTCCAAGAGCATGTGCTACACCGAAAGGTGATGAGACCCTCAGCACGAGATGAATAAAGACTAGAAGTAGAGTGTCTCTATATGACACCTTGCCTCTTTGTCTGCTAGAACCTAAGTTCTTCTTGTCGCTTTTACTTTCTACTTTCACAAAAGCCTCCATTGTTGCCCGTCTCGTCGATCAGTACAGTCTGCAGATTTCAACTGTGATTTGAAAGTATGTATTGATTTAAAATAAAGTCTAGTAACAGCAAGAAAGTTGAATGTTCTGTGTGATCCATGAAGAAGCTGAAAGCTGGAAGGAACTTTTAAGGCCATCTAATCCAAGCCCTTTATTTTACAGATGAGGAAACTGAAGCCCAGAGAGGTGAAGTGAGGTGCCCAAGGCCACACAGCAAGTTAGAGGCACAGCTAGTACGATAGCTCAAGTCTCCTGACTCCCAGTCCACTGCTCCTCCCATTACTCCACGGGTCCTGTCTCTAAGCTTCCTGACAAATGCTAGAACGGTAAACCTCCACTAGTATTTTTCCAGACCATGTTAAAACTCATAAGGCGGGGGGAAAGGATGCTTTCTTGGATAATGTCAGCCATACGTAGCTCAAGCTGTCTGAAAGTTCTGGGACAGGGTCTTTTTATAAGCCAACAGAGTCCAAATGTGGTGCTGTTTGCTTGGCCCATATGCTTTCATGTGTTCCCAGTTAGGCCATTACTGGAGGGAAAAAAAAAAAAAAAACAAGAATCAGCTTGTTTTAAAACAAGGGACATACTGGACTCCCTCCCATCCCCCTTCAGAAAAAAAAAAAAAATCAAGTTATCTTTAACAGATTCTAAAAATGCCTTTTCCCAAATATGCAGTCAGTTCCTTCAAAGGGCCCTTTGTTTATTTTCAGGAAGAAACCCAAGACAGCTGAAAACCAGAAGGCATCTGAGGAGAATGAGATTACTCAGCCGGGTGGATCCAGCGCCAAGCCAGGCCTTCCCTGCCTGAACTTTGAAGCTGTTCTGTCTCCAGACCCAGCCCTCATCCACTCAACACATTCACTAACAAACTCTCACGCTCACACCGGGTCATCTGATTGTGAGTACACCAGTAAGGTGATGGTGTCTTCGCAGTGCTTGGAGAAATGCTTTTCCCCGGGGTTCTGGCTGTTTTGCATTCAGAGCAAGCTGTTTGCATTTTGTCTTCTAAAGTAGCCAAAAGTAGCATGCCACCATTTTTATTTGGCCAACATCTATAATTTTGAAAGCTAAGTATATTTTAAAGTCAGGTAACCAGCCATTTGGCCTCAAAAGACTAATTAATTATATGATCCACATTCTCGTTTATAACATTAACTCAGAAAGAAAAAAAGTTACAATGCTGCCTTCTAATTATTCCTGATCTGAATAACACCACTTCCACCATTACTAAGTGGAACAACCAAATATGGACCTCAGAAGGCCGTTTAGATACAAGGAAATATCCATTTTGAAGTTACATAACACAAATCAGATTTGCATTAGTTATTGAAGTCTCATGTAGCTTGGCTGAATTTCTGTCTTTCCAGTTTTTAATTTATTTTGAAGTGGTTAAAGGATAGCATAAATTTACAGAAGAAAAGAAAAGGGCTTCCAAGAATTCAAAAGCCACCCAGACTTCACATAGCCAATAAGAATTCAGGTTAAAAATATTTTTAATTAAAAAAACTGCCTGAGGGCTAAATTTGGAAATGGGCAGCTTAATGAGATCGTCACTATTGAAATCACTTCTTTGCTGTTTATTTTTGCCGTCTTCTCACTAATCTGGAAGTCACTTGTTCAAATTTTATTTTAAGAAAGTTGAATAGTCACATTTTGGAGATTTTTTTCTTCCTTCTGAAACACAACCCAATACTTCAGGCAGAAATGTACATGTTGACAATGGAAAGCAATTGAGTAAGTTTGGGGTCAAATCAGAAGGACTATTTCTTTTAGCTTTAAGAGACCCAGAAACTCTTCTGAACTGGTCTCCATGTAGGTTGTCTGGTAACGGGCAAAGAACTGGCATGTTCTTCTTTAGAGTCAGTAAGATAAGAAAGTTTTATTTTAGTTTTGTCCACAGAAAACAAAAATTATGATTAGGAAATGTAATTTTAAATCTATTGTTATTTTTTGGAAAGAACAAAGGAATAATTTTGGAAAAATGGTCAGAGATGACTGAGTCTGGAGATGTCATTTTCTGCTTGCTTCATCAGAGTGCTCTGTAGGTAAGGGGTAAGAACTAGGGGAAGGGGCTGGGGTGGAGATGGCCTGTTTTAAGCCTGTGTCTATGTGATCCATACAGTCGAAGTTGCACCTTCTATAAAGAGATACGAGGATCTGAAACAGGGTCTGTTCCATGGACCACTGTAATAGTCATACTCTTGGACTGTATTGCCTGGCAGTCTCCAGCCTAATAGTAATTACAGGAGAAATTGGAAAATAGCGTGGCGCTGTGCCCACAGACATGTGCACGCTGTCCCTACCTACCAGGAAGGTGGACTATTCCTGCGGTGAAGGGCCTGGAGTTTCTGCATGCAGACCTTCATTGCCTGGCTTTCTGCCACACCGTATGGGGAAGATTACATGCAATGGCCTTAGCCCAAGCACCTCCTGTTACAGCAAAATGAATGTTTTGCTAAATAGAAAAAGCAGTGATCTTCATTTATTGTACTTTCCCGTAAGCATCCTCCAGCCGGGCCTTAGCACTAGTGATGCAGGCATGTAGGAACAGTAGGAATATGGTGTCAGCGTGCAGTTCCTGGGTAACCCTGTGGAAGCCAGCAGATCTGAGTTTAGGGAGGTGTCTGAATGCAGTTGAAAGAAGAATGAATTGGGAGGAGAATCCTAATCTCCAGCTGTTTAGGAAGTCATTTTGATTTTGCCATTAAGATGTGTAAGACTTCCCCATCCAACTTTTTGTTTAAATTGATTATACTTTTCTCCAAATATATTTGGATTATAGTTTGTCCTGATTTGAGCCTACACTTAGAAGAAAATTGTTTTTAGGAAAGATTCACAGAAATCTGTCCATTTGGAGATTGCTTGAGAGAAGACAGGAAAGAGGTTTATTTTAAGCTGTTAAAATTTTTGGATGCTCTTCTTGCATTCAAGAGGATTTTTTTTTTTTTTTTTACTTTCAAATGTCATTTTACCATAGATTAATTTAAAAGCCTAATTTCTTTAAGGTAAAATATTCAATTCCTATTTAGAACTAACAGATTTGGGGCATTTAAAAATAGTGCCCTTGACTTGCTAGTCTCTTTAACTTGAGAAGCATTCTGCCAGTGTGTGTTGTTCTAAGCTTTCTCAAGTACCAGAATTTTTATAATACCTTTTTATTTGTCAGGTGGTTAGCACCGTACTCTTAATCATTCCTTAATGCCTGTGTCCTCTCAGTCGGTGTGATTCTTCCCAATTCGCAGATGAAAAAACTGAGAAAATGACACCCAGAGAGATGAGCCGCTGGACCATGGGTAGCCCATCAGGGGACTGAGAGATGTTTGTGGGTTTGCTTTCATTGTGAGCCCCCAGAGTTGTTCTGTGTTCATGGTCCAGAGATGGCATTCCTGGCTCTGAACCGGCACTTGAAGAATGTAAACTACTCCTATTGGTGACTGGGCTACAAAACAGGGTGGATTAAACCATTCCCGTAAAAACTAAGTCAGCTGCACTGTGAACTGGGAAGGGTGGGTGAGCCACAGTATTGTTGCATGTGAAGGACACAGGCCATGTTTTCAAGCAAAGTTGACAAGTCTGACCTCTTAAATTCCTAGTTAGCTATTTAACCTGCTGAGCCACTTCAGATTTGGCAGAGAATCCCAGTAATTTCAAACCAAGAAGGAACATAGTTGAGATATGCTTTCCTTTGTGAGGTGATAATCTTAATGTTGCTCCTGAAATGTGTGCTGCTTTGCATTGCACTCACTAATACAATTTCCTTTCAGTAATATTCTCCCATTACCTCCTAGCTTGTCACCTCTACACCATTTCTAAAAATCTAGTGGTAAACAAATTTAGATGATGATAATGGAAGGCATTAAGATCAGCTTAGGAACAAAAAGGGTACAAAAACCCAAGTGTTTGACAGAGCACTTACCCACGGAACATGCTGAGTATGAACCGAGCCAAGCGCTCCTTTTAAATGCTTAAAGAGGACTAAACCAAGTCAGTAGAGCAGACGAAGCTCTCCATATGAAAAACCTTTCTTGACAACTATCAAGCTGTAGTACATCACAGTCATATCCATGTGATAGACGCAACCAGAGCTTTACTTGCATATTTCTTCCATTTTGTTTTCCCCCAACAAAGGCTTCCATCGAAAGGAGCAGCGAGTCTTCTCCCTTTGTCTGTCCTCCCTAGTTCTGGCCGTAGATCCACCTCGTCTGATGTGTTTCCTTTGTTGGAAGCTTATATCCACAGTTGCTTACCTTCCCATGTTTCGCTCTTGACTCATCAGACTGTCTCGTTTTTTGTGTCTTTGCCAAAATGCACTTACACATTAACAGTTTTTATTTATTTTTAATTTAACCTTTACACATTACCAAACTGTTGTGTGGGTGGTTTTAACTTTAGCTCTGTAGGTAGCGTGATGCTGCTGAGCGCTCCTGAGAAGACTATGGGCTCGTCCTGTTCTGTTTTTTGCCATCCACCTTCATGGGCCTTATCGGCCCGCACTCCCAGCCCTTTGCCTCGCCTGTCCAAGTCCCTGTGATTAAAATTTTTAGTACACTTGGCTCATTTCGAACTTTTGAGCAATTTTTTTAGAGAACAAAACAAAGAGGATTTTTATTGCAAACTCCATTAATGCCACATTAAGGCTGACATTTTAATTACCCCCAAGTCAGGAAATGCAAAGTTCAGGTTCCCACAGCAACAGAAACTGTCCCCTTGAGTGCTGCCATCACAGCGGATTCTTTCATTCCCTGATTACACAACACCAGGTGTGGGGACATTGTTTGCATCCATGTATGTGGAAAGGAGCAGAGCTTTTATTCTTTGTTTCTTTCCTGTAACTACAGTTGAGGATATGGGTCTTTAGCTTCTCTCCCCAAACCATCTATATGTATTATCCTGAAATGGAAGACTATTACAGCTCTACATGTGCACACGGACAGAATTAAAGTTGCTGTGGGAACATTAACTCTGATTTCCGGACTTCCGTGCCAGTCACATTTAAACCATAATGTTGTAATTTTTGGCATGTAATAAATGTGCATTTCATGTACACAGACAGAAAGAAGCATAAAATGTATTTTAAAGAGCAATTAATTACTAACTTTGTGATTAAAAAACATTTGGTGCATGTTCCTTCCCATTTAGCATCAGCTGCTGGTCTTAGCCAGGCCTAATAGATGACATACTGTGTCTCATCCTGTATCTCAGATGTACTTACTGTATGTTCCTGTTCTTCTAGATAATTAATTCCCTTAGTAAAGCTGTAGAGGGAAAGCAAAATGGAAGGAAAATGCAAGCATGTAAGTAGGGGAAGGGATCTTTCGAAGGAAATGATTCATTTCTGCTAAGTGGGTGTAGAGAAAGGGTTCTGACCACCTTAAAGTACCTGGTCTGGGGCCATAAGAACAATCTGAATGTCAGGCATGCCCAATGGAGGAATGATTTTTACTCGTTACTAACTTTTGAGGCCTAAGGTTCTTCAGTTTATATTCAGAGTGGAAAGGCAAAGTTGTAGAGAAATTGGGTAAGGTGTGGGATTTCCTAAAGAACCTGTGACTTGGAAAACAGAGGAATTTTTTTTTTCCTTTACATCAGACTCTGGTTGACCTATTTGTATTAGGGAAGGAAATTTTTCAAAATAACTGTTTGAACAGGTTTGTGAGTGAAAGGAATTAGTAGCGATACACTACGGTACAGTGTTTAAAAATGCAGATGTTTGAGTACATGTGAAATAGAGTAGTTTGAACTCTCTTCTAGAGCGAAACATTGAATGAAGAGTCTCTGTTTGCTCATTCACTCTCCTGTCGTGATCTCCTTTTCGTTCAGTTTGGTTGCATATGGTATTTAACCTTTAAGAAAGATACTTCAGTTTACAGGGCTCTGATTTGCTTTTACTTGGGCTGT